TCTTTTTTTTCTAATCCATAAAGTATTAGATTTAATTCTCCAACAATAAGGAAATCCTTCTTGTGAAAAAAGATTTATTCCTAGTCGGTTGCTTATAAGCCTGTATAAGTTRTCGATCCGCGMGAAAAGTAGAGCTATGCTTTCCYATCYTTCCTGGAAAAGTTTGMTGACAAGAACACTTACTGCACTTGGATCATCATATGCCMGCAAAGGACTAGTGGGTGGTGCCGTGAAGACTTCTGGGTACTATTGYGCAATTTCTGCATTTTCTGACAAGGAAWATAAACAGCTACMCCCCAGTAAATAAYACAATAACTAAGGATGGTAAAAAGATAAKAAMATTAATTGGTGATTTKACTGAGAACATTGGGATAWTTGATCTTGTTRYGTCAAAGCGCAAGATCAAATTCWYRARTAGTGTGACATSCATAACGCAAAACTGTTTAATACTGGAATACCAACGACTCTCTTCAAATTTTTATGTGCGGTTTATTTTAACGATCTCAACAATTTCCAGAATATTGATATCTAAAAATAAAAAATACCAGATGCAATTATTTTTTTAACTGAATTTTAAAAGCAAACGCACGTCGAGTTCTCTGTGCTGTGATTGGATGGTGGGTTTGTGCTGAGATTGGCTATTTAGTTGTTTCGTCTCCGCCCAGAACGTTTTCTTGCTGTCGGTATTCAACCAATCACACCACAGATAATCCTACGAGCGTTATATAACAGACACACCATCYAGTCTATAGAGCGTTTTCACGTGACGTGACAGCGGCCATTATGGGGTGCCAAAACAATACATTTTCTATCCTCCGGGAATTGAACTCTATTTTTATGCAAATGCTGTGCAGAAATTTTCTATTGTTTATAGCTGCCTTCTCACGTGAGTGAAAACGCTCTATACCATCACTTGATGAAGACTAGCAGTTTGACGTCCAAAGGTTGCGGTTTAACAAATGACCCTCAATAGTGAGGCAAATGAGAAAGTGTCACGTACAATCTCGTACCCAAAGTCTGCGTTTCTTCTGGCCTGCGGAGAAGAACGAGGGCTTTGGCATAATCTTTTTTTTTTGGCGCATTCGCAATGTTCCGGAAGTGAAACACAATTAATGAAAATTATGCTTTTAAACAGAATTCTGTGATCACAATAAAAATTAGAAACCAGAAAAGCATCGTTTTTATATTTCGCAAGTCTTTAAACGCATGCGCTCTTAYATCGGAAGTCCAAGAAACCCTGGTCTGAAAAATGGATTTTGCCAGAGTCCTCGTCCTTCGCCGTAGGCCAGAAAAAACGTAGGCTCTGGGTACGAGATTGTGTCATGTAATAMAATAGACCATTTCTAAGATGCGCGAACGCTTTCATAATTATCGGGGGTGCAGAGAAGAAAGCGAAGCATTTTTGGGCAGAGTTTATAAGAAGCCTTTGGAAACCATAGAGTTATAGACGATTTCTACAGCCCTTAAAGGATTTCGTCTGAAGTGAGCCTTTCCCAAAAAAAAATTAAAGTCCTGCTTCTGAACTAAAAGAAACATTAAAGTACTCCTTCGTTAACATATTTTCAAACAGTTTTTTTGTGTTTTCTATAAGAGCGCGTAAGATCTACTGCACGTGTTACTTTTGACAGCCCTCGCKCATCTCGGAACTGATCGCCATAGCTATTCCCATGATGAATAATAGTTCTCGTYCTATTAACATGACTGAGCCTTGACCACACCGCTACAGCAAAACTGGGTTTTGTAATTGTACACTTTTTTGCCACAGCATGAAGTGGAGATGGCTT